CTTGCAAGGCAGCCCCCGCAATCAACCCCCAGCCCATCTCTCACTGCTCTTCTCCCTGAGCCAATTGCTCTGCCAGTGTAACTCCAGTACAGTTGCTCTTCAGCCGTCGGTCCCTGGTACTTTAAGTATGTGTGAAGAATAGTGCCTAACACTTCTCAGAGACACGTTGTGTTCCAACCACATAAATGCCCCAAGTTTATTTGAAGCCTTTCACGTGAGCGCCGTGCTTCTAGGTAAGTTCTGGATCAATCTTGGAGAGATGAGAGTTTTCTCTTTGGAAAAGTTTTGAGAGAAGTCTGTGTCCCCTTGAGCCTGGTCTAAAAGCTAATTGGAACTGTAGTCAAATCAGACTGATCTGGCCTATGGTCTTATGCCAAATTCATTCCACCCACTCCCATGATAAGCTGAGTTCACACCTATCCTGTGTAAATACCATACTTCCTCTGCTGGTCTGACCCTGCCTACATCAACTTTATGCCTACCAATCAGGGACATGCATCTCTGGCCTCTATCCCCCGTGCAAAGACTACAGTGATCCTATACTGACTGGTCTTGCAGCTGCGCCATATCTCCACTTCAAATCCACTGAAGCTTTAAGTCTAGTAAACTTTCATACAGCCTTAAATCTTGGACTACACTAGATGCCCTGTAGCTGATTAATTTAAGCTCAAATCAATATGAACCAGTTGTAACCTGATGTAAGTGCATCTACACAGGAGGTTGCACCAGTTTCACTAAAATGACTTAAGCTGTCTTAGTTAAACTGATGCTACGTGTGTGTTTAGACAAGGCCGTGTTCTGGCTGGGCCAATAAGTGCCAAAGTACTGCTGGATTCATGGAGCCTGCCAGGAAGCAGAAGATTTCTTGCAAGATTTCCAGCCCAGTTTTGCGTCCAATCTAGCAGTCTAAATAGAGCAGAGCTACACTGTGGCTAAGCATAGGGGGCCTGATTCACCATGGCATTACTCCAGTTTTGAACCAATGTAACATCACTAAAATCAATGAAGTTGCACCAACATAGCCATGGAGTCGCAGCAGTGAATGAGGCCCTGAATCAATAGAACTTCACCCTTACCATGGTCCTGATCCTGCAGTGAGAAGCATGAGGTCAGATCCCATCTGTGCAGATTTCAGATAAGCTGATGCCTGAATATCTCCCCATACCTATTAAAGCTAGTCACCTGCCTCACTGGAGAGGGGCCCGAACCAAATCCTGAAACTGAATGGCCCACTCTGGGGGAAAGTTTTAATCTGGATCCAGACAAACTTTATAGTATGGATACATCTCCACCAGGATCAAATCTGGCCCCAAAGTCACACCCACTGGGTGCTGGTTTGGCAGCCTGTGCAAAATGTTTATAAGCTGATGTGCAGCCCCCTTCCAGCCCCAAGTATCCATGTCAAAACAAAAAGCACCATAACAGCTAGCACTTGCTGGGCCTTTGAGCAGAGCCCTCCCTCCAGGGCTGGGTGAGGTACACAATGGCTAGTACAAGGAAAACAGCTGCTTGTGCCATGCTTGTTCTGAGGCTAAATAAGAGAACTCCAGCCCAGGCCCCAGGGCTGTCAGTTTGGCACTAAATCCACCATAGCTGGTTGAAAAGGGAGAGCTGTTAAAGAGAACAGACATAGTTGTGTGGGGCTGACTGAACAGCATGCTCTCTGCTAACCTCTAAGACTCAGAGGCTCGATAGGTCACTGGGCTCGAAGGAGCCCCAGGAATCAGTCTCACCCCACTTGTCAGTCTCACCACTGATCCGACACAGAACTGCTCCCTGGCAGAGTTTCCTGAGCTGTTGAGCTGTAAAGCTCCCAAGAGAGACACTGACTGCACTGGCCATGTGGTGGGACCAACTGTGATGCTCTCTGCCAGTGCAGCACTGTCACTCTGTGCTGGCCTGGGACTCTGGAGCACCCACCCCTAGCTGTGGCCATGGTGTGTATTGAGGGGAGAGGGCTCGGGGAGCGGCTAGGTCCAGTCTCAGCATTAAAAGCAGCCTCACAATGGGAGTCAGTCCTGACTTCAGGGCTTTCCAGGCCGTGCTGCTGGCCTTCTACGAGAGCAATCCCTGGCTGACAGGGTGGGATTTCAGAGCACACCCTGAAGCTTGAGGTCTGACCTAGGGCTCTATGGGGACTTTGGTAGAAGCCCATCAACTTATTCTTTCATGAAGGTGGCTGTCAGTGAGACATGGCAGTGG